ATAGACTCTGAGTGGATTAAGTAAGCAAAATCATAGTCATTAGAGGCTAAACCAAAGCTAATGGCAGCAAATACTCCAGATATTGAAATCAGGAAACCAATGAATTCATTCTGAAGACAGAATACTTACTTTGCACCATGGGGACACGGCAAAACCTCCTTCTGAATGTCTGATTCAGAACTGAACGGTTGCAGTGGTCTTGCTGGGACCACGTGGGCATGGTGCAGTGTCTCTCGACACACTGTGCTTTCCTCCCAATCTGAAGAGCCCATCTTCAGTATTGAATACTTAATCAGTAGAAGTGCCAACCTATGAACTCCACCTTTAAAACTTTGCCCTTAAAAGCAATATTGTTCTGCAGTAACCCAATTTCCACACCAACTTTCTTAATAAGGTGTTCACGTCTTTAACTACTTGGCACTATTTCAGCTTAACTAAATTAAGAATAATCAGACAGCAGTGCATTCCAAGGGAGCCAGTCTCTCCCGCCAGCTTATGATAGGCACAATGCAGAAGGCACAATTGTTCTGTTTTATGTGCAGACTATGTTCTTCTGGTTTCCAGCTTAGAGTCTCTTCCTAATCAGTTCTTAAAGTAAAACTAAACAAAGAAAACTAAAGTCACTACTTGGGGCTGTTCTTAAGTTCCGCCTCCGTGCCTGATTCCAGCTTCCTGTTGATATACATCCTGGGAGGCGCTGGGCGGTGGTGGCACAGGTGTGTGGGTCTGTGACACACATGTGGGAGACCTGGGCTGATTTCTGGGCTCCTGGCTTCTGCTCGGTCCAGCTCTGGCTATTGCGGGCATTTGGGGAATGAACCAGCAGATGGAGGATCTTTCCATCCTTGCCTGCTTCTACCTCTCAAATAAAAAAAAATGCAAATTTTAAAAACATGAACACTGGAGGTCTAAAGGTTTATGATCCTTTCGTTTTGCATCACCCCACTATCCTATAAAGGGAATTTTACTTTTTCACATGCATTTTAGTTTTCAGTTTGCTCAATTAAACAGCAGAGAGGAGGTAGGCAGGGTTTCCGTTTGCAGGGCTGCAGCAGGTGATCAGTGCCTGGGCAACACAGTGCCTTAGCCCCTGCCGCACCGTCCTCTGGCCCCTACGTGTTGGCGTCATCCTGCAGGACCAGCGACAAGGGCGTCAGACACCTTTTCCACTCTTACTTTCCCTGTCTGCATCTGCAAGTGAATGAGTGTTTCTTTACCTGGTGGATTTGTCTGCTGTACCATGCCGCTTCACTCTGGCCTGCAGCTGCCTTCGGCTAAGAGAGGATTGAGTGCTGGCCACAAAGGCCATGCACCTGCAAAGCCCCTAGTAGTTTCTACCTGGCTCTTTTCAGAGAAAAGAGGGACTGGGTGCAAATCTTTCTGCTGACTTTACAAGTCCAGAAGGAAAGGGCTCTGGGCACCCCTGTGTGCATTCCTCCACTTAGATGTCAACACACAACCCGGACGGTGATGATAACTTCTGGGGTAAGGGGGCGGGGTACCAGTCTCCTTTGCAGATGTGACTATTAAAGTCCGAGGCCTCTGCTTGATTTTTTTCTTCCTGAAATAGTAACGTGAGAATGCTACGACTGCTTTTCCTAGTTTGTTCCCTACATCACACAGGCTGCGTGTTTACATTGGAACTTAGAGCTGGTGGCTCTTCTCACAGCTCCATCCTTGGATGCTACCCTATGGAGACTTTTCCCCATGTTAAAGCCATATACTGCAACTCTGGGATGGTGACCATGTGACAGGTGCAGGTGAGCTGGCCCTGAGGCCAGCATCAGCTCCCTGCCTTCCATGGGCATACACTGACATCACCGTGGATCAGCTTCCTCAAAAATTAGATGAGGTTAGCTCACGATATGAAAAACATACAGATACATGGTCATTTAGAGGGAGTTCCAGGCTCCTGGCTTCAGCCTGGCCCAGCAGGTAGAAGACTTCCATTTCTCTTTCTTTTTGACTTTTAAATAAATAAATGTTAAAAAAAAACCCAAGTGACATTTATAAAAAATAGTGAAAAAATCCAGCACTATGCCCAATATGTGAAGATATTTGAGAGCTGTAATTTATAAACAACTGAACAGATACAAGTGTACGTCTTTGGAAAGCATACACTCAAGGGATGGAAAATTGAACCCATGGTTTTGGAGGAGACATAATTTAGTTAAGCCTGAGGGTTTCTTTAATACTTCAAAATTCATTTACAAAATTGCCTTTCCAATAATAAATAAATTTACTGATATATTACCATGGGACCCAACTGTTACCCTATCACTATTCACTGTGCTTCTTCAAACATTCTTCTGGCCAATTAAAACTGCTTTTGTATGGGGTCAGTGTTGTGGTGTGTTACATCCCATATAGGAGCCAGCTCCTGTCCCAGCTGCTCTACTTCTGATTCAGCTCCCTGCTACTGGCCTGGGAAAAGCAGTAGAAGATGGCCCAGTTATTTGGGCCCCTGCAACTCGTGTGAGAGACCCAGATGAAGCTCCTAGTTCCCCGTTTTGGCATGGCCAAGCAGTGGCTGTTGTAGCCACGTGGAGAGTGAACCAACAGCTCTCGCTCTCTCCTCTCTTTCTCTCTCTGTATGTGTATATGTGTATCTTTTTCTTTCAAATAAATAATTTTTTAAATTGCTTTTGTTAAAAAATAAAACCCAACATCTTTCCCTGTAACTTATCACACACACCACAGGATCTGGCCATGCAAATCCTAATTCTCAAAGGACAGCATGTTTTCTCCAGTGAGTGTTTAACTGGGAGTACTCTCTTGTCTTCCTGCAGAGGCCAACAGTGGAGAATCACATTGCAATGAATCCAGAGACGAGCCTGGTGGATGTCTTTAGATAGTCTGTATCCAGGTGGGGTATTTAAGGGTCAGACATGCTAAAGCTCTCAAGTGCAGCACGCAGGAGGCCCCAGCCCCTCAGCCTCCTGCCTCACACTGAGCCCGTGAACAGGCCACCAGCAGGGAGATCCAGCACAGGACACCTCTCCTCCCAGAAGCCAGGTGCAGAGAGACAAGTGACAGCACACAGGGGCAGTGGACTCTGCTGGCCTCTGTGCCTTGTGGCACCAACTCCTGTGGGTCTGAGATGGGCTTGAAGCTTACTTGCTCTGCGCCTCCCTCTGCTGATCTGAGGTGGGATTGGTTCTCGGAGTTGCATGTCTAAGGGATCCCAGGTCCGAGAAGCAAAGCAACGCAAAGAGGATGAATTGCCTCATGCTTTGTGAGCCGGCACCAGGAACCCACCGTGCATGGCACAGTCTTGTGGGTTATCCTTTGTCACCTAGAAGGAGTCATGTCGGGATCCAGAAGTCACCAGGCTGGCCAGGGAGGGCTATGCTCCCTTCCAGCTGAGTTCCCGGCTAAGCTACACCTGTGTCCTGGACCCCAACACCCGCTGCCACCCGTGACCCATCAGCAACTGGGGAAGAACAATCCTGCAGGCAACGCGGGCCAGAGCAAATTTCAAACAACTACTGAGTTGGCTGAACTTGGGAAGTAGACTTATCCTTTTATTGTTATCAATGCCTACAACGGCATTATTATCCTTGGGAAGGCTCCTAACGGTGTTCCTTAACGCTCTGATCCCAACAGAGGCCTGGTACAATAACTGTGTTGCCTACAATCCTCTCGAATAGAACACTACAACAATTACTGCCTTTCGCTTTCTAGAGTGCTGCAACATTTAAGACTTGACAGCTCATCGCATTGTATCCCACAGCAAATCACACATCAGATGAGAAAGTGAGTTTCAAAATACTTCTGTGACCTGGGTCATGAAATTGCAAAACCAGGCTTTTAACACAATCCCAGCAGCTCAGTCCCAAAGCTAGTGTTACCAGGAGCTTTGTTTAGAGGAAGACTGGCCTGCAACTCGGAGCTGTTTGTCAAAAAAGGCCCTTTCTGTGGCATAGTGGGCTAAGCCTCTGCCTGTGGTGCCAGCATCCCATACGGGTGCTGGTTTTGTCCCGGCTGCTCCTCTTGTGAGCCAGCTCTCTGCTGTGGCCTGGGAAAGCAGTGAGCACGGCCCAAGTGCTTGGTCCCCTGCATCCGCATGGGAGACTTGCAACAAGTTCCCGGCTTTGAATCGGCCCAGCTCTGGTCTTTGTGGCAGTTTGAGAGTGAACCAGCAGGTGGAAGACCTTTCTCTGTCTCTCCCTCTGTAACTCCACCTCTCAAATAAATAAATAAAAATAAGAAAGATCATTTCTACAGCAAACGTGCAATTCTGTACTGCTTTGAGAAATAAATTAAGAGAGCATATCACTCACCAAGGGTGTGTGAGATTGTAATTGCCCAGGGGCAAACTTTTGTCGAGGATCAGAGTGTACCCACAATCTCCAGCTGCCAAGTGCTGGACAAGTGCAAGGTGCACACGGTCATCTTCCATGCCCCCAAGCACCTGGCCCTGCCAGGGGAACTCCCAGCTCTGGTGTGGTCACAAGTGGGCATCCCATGGAAGAGGGGGAGACAAGCCTGGGGTGGGGGAAGGGGTGACGGCACTTGGGATTCCCTGGGCCTGCAGGGTCTCCATCCCCACCCCTCACAGGCTGTCCGTCCGACCCTGGAGCTCAGGAGAGAGGCAGCACCTGGGAGAGCTGGTGATGAGGGCCACACTGTGTGGGTGCTGCCAAGAGCTCTTTTTTAAGAGCATGCACACTCTATAGTGTTCTCTGTCTAGTTGCATCAAGACTATGTATTGAATAAAACATAAACTTACGACAGGTGAACAGGTCAGTGCAGGAACACCAAATATCAGCATTATCACGGAGAGTTATAATACAATGAATAATTCATTCTAACCCTGCCAACCGCCTGCAGGTGTCAGAACAGCGCTCCTGTCCCCGGATAAGTGGTGGGTTATCCTCGTCACAATCAGTTTGTGTGGGATCTGCCCCCCGGGAGGCAGGACTCCCACAGACACCGAGGTCCATGCCCTCGGCACCGGCAGGCCTGTCCTACCTACGACCCTCCTGGGGACGCCCTACCTGCGCGTGCGGTAGAACTGGCACCGCTTCAGGGGCACCTTGGCCACGTGCTCGCGCAGGCCCACGAACAGCACGCTCTGGCTGTGCAGGATCTGCAGGCTCCGAATGTGCTCCTGCCGCCTCTCCGGGAACAGCTCGATCTCCTCCAGCAAGCAGCTGCCCGAACTCTGATTGAGCGGCGCCCGCACTTTCTTGATGGTGCCGTAGTCTGTGGAGACAAGAGTGGGAAGACAATGCTCAGGGCATCTCTGGAGACACTCTCTGGTTGAGCAGTGTGTGCAAGGCTGGCAGCTACAGTTCTCTGAGCGGTGGACACACGTGCAGAGGCCTGGGGCTCCTGCCACATCTACCCACTTGGCTGCACCGGATGTGGGGCCCAGACCTCAGCATTTTTCAAAGCTCTTCAATAACGCCCTAATGCAGCCAAGGATGAGACATCCTCCAGGTGGCTCTTGCAGATGCAGGTCAAGAGACTCAGAGCACTCTGGTAGGGTTCCCAGTATCAAGCTTTGTGTCACCCCATAGAGAGCATCAGGACAGAGAAACGGTTGAAGGATGCCCTTGGACTCCGCGTGTCCAGAGTGTGGTGCTGCCCCAGCAGGGAGGACGCACCTTGACAGCCAACTGCACACACGCAGGGCAACAAGGCTGCAGACAACGCCGGGTGCACCTGCCTTCCACTCTTCCTCCTCCCTCTCACCCAGGGCAGTGCCTTCAGCCCACCATTCTCTCTCCTCTGGCTGCGTCATCTCCTTCCTTCCCTCTCTGGCACTGGCTCTCTGGGTCCCTTTTCTTGGTCTCAGCTCCTCCGGTCCTTCTTGTCTGTGCTCTCGCAATGTCCGCTCCTGGCCTGGCCCCAGTCCTCCCAGCTCCAGGTACACTCAGTCATGAGTCAGGCTCCCGACACTGCCCAAGGGTCGAAGTGCCCTGAACTGTGCAGGCTCCACTGCAAGGCTGTGAGCGGAGTGCAGCAGCGGCTTTAGCACACGCCTGCGAGGGGCACAGGGCAGCCAGCACCAGGAGATGCAGCCTTGGGCTCCTCAGAGCTCTCCCTGGTGCCCACTGGTGTGGATCCACTGCGGCCAGACTGGGCCCAAGCAAGGGAGGGGGCGTGGGAGGGAGAGAGGGGGCTGGTCTGGACAGAGAATGTCATTATTACGCCTTTGTTTGCTAAGGAGTCTGCTTCTCCACTTTGACCTTTAGCAGGCGCTACGTCCATCAGAGTACAGGTGATGTAAGAAACGTGCACTTCTCCAACACGGCTGAGTTTCAACCCAAAGTGTCATAGCTAAATATGAATGAAGGGAATCATTATAATTGGCTTCATCTGATAAAATATTAACGCTGAAAGCTTGCCATAGAAAATAAAACCATACGCATCTCCTATTCTGCTGAAATTCAGCACTCCAATAAAAGTCACTTGCAGGACACAATATATGACAGAAGCGCGTGAAACCCTCGTAATCATTCGTTCACGTCCTGAGACCTGCAAGAGAAGAAAGCCCTCATTTCCGGTGTACTGCAGCCCACGTCCGCGGGAGAGAGGAGCGGAGAGTGACCTGCAGCCACAGGAGACAGCCCACGGCAGGGTGCTCAGAGTGGGCCTGGCGTTGGTTAGGATTCTCAGATCATTTGCCACTTTGTGAAAACATCAACTGCACATTTTGCGATGAACACAGATGTGAGTACCACGTATTTGTAGTTTGTCCCTCAAATTGAAGACCATAGGTGCTCAGCACGGAAAAACAGAGCAACCGCGAGGCTTAGACTGCTCGACGCTGAGAGTACAGATGCTACTCCAGAGAGGGGAGGAGAGCTCCAGTCACACACAAACATTAAACACACTGAACACAAAGTTCTGTTTTGTCTTAGCAGAATATAAACAAGCTTGTACTGTAGGCTGAGAGATTAAATACACAGTGCCTGCTCAAATTTGAGTAATTCTTAGGATGTTCTACTCAATGCTGCTCCTGGTTTTTATCTGACACTCACACGTAAGTGGGCATCCTGTAGTTTTACTGGCTCCATCACGCTACCCTGTCACCTGCCATTCCACCTGCTCACCTAGCAAGTGAGCAAAGCTGCAATGATTTTATGGCTGAGCATCCTCCCTCCACGGATGAGGAAACGGGGTTCCGGAGAGCGGAGCACGTGTTTCCTATGAGCTACGCTGGCAAAGTCCTGTAAAAGGGTTTGTTGTGAGCAGGCTTTTCATTCCAATGCCGATGAATGAGACGGAAGATTGTAACAATGACCTCCAAAGAAGAGGTGGATGAAAGCGCTAGCACCGGGAAGCAGCACGGTGCCGGGAAGAGGTGGCTCCGCTCAGACCGTGAGCACTCTCTTTGGATCCCTGCAGCCCTTCTAGGTGTCATGAAACGCTCTCCAGAAGTCACAGGACCGGGAAGTAGCACGCAGCTTAAACAGTAAAGTCTACAATAAAATAATATCTTTGAATTACTATTTCCTACATGTAACCTAAACTCTAATGTTTATACTTCAATTATTAATGGTAATATTTCTGGTTTTGGGGTAACCAGTTGGTATTTTTCAATTTTCAATGTGCTAGTGGCAAACATGGATTTAATAGTTTGAACAAGATTCTAGTTTGCATCTTAGCAAATGAATGCAAGTGTAGCTCCCTTCCATTTTGTATGTAAATATCCTTATAAGACAGGGGCTATGCAAGCTGAATGTGCCCGCCCAATACCTCAGCACGTGGCCATGTCTAGAGATGGGATCTTTTTTTTTTTTTAATTTGACAGGTAGAGTTTTAGACAGTGAGAGAGACAGAGAGAAAGGTCTTCCTTCTGTTGGTTCACTCCCCAAATGGCTGCTACGGCTGGTGCTGTGCTGATCTGAAGCCAGGAGCCAGGTGCTTCTTCCTGGTCTCCCATGTGGGTACAGGGGCCCAAGCACTTGGGCCATCCTCCACTGCCCTTCCGGGCCACAGCAGAGAGCTGGACTGGAAGAGGAGCAACCGGGACAGAACCTGGCGCCCATATGGGATGCCGGCGCCACGGGCCAAGGATTAACCAAGTGAGGCACGGCACCGGCCCCTGGAGATGGGGTCTTAAGGGGAACATTCAGGGACAAGGAGGTAACGAGTGCGGGCCTGCCTCTGCTGTGAAGGGTGTCCTTCTAAGACGGACGCAGAGAGGTGCAGCCATGGGCAGCCGACGGGGCGGCTTCAGGAGAGAGCAGCCTTCCTGGCACCTTGATCCTGGACCCGTCTCCAGGGCCCTGGGAAGCGAATGTCTGCTGCATCACGCCCAGTCCCTGTGACGTTGCCATGGCAGCCCAAGGACACTCACAGCAGGACACTGTGTCCAAAGCAGCCAATGTAACAGCTAGATAGTGTTCAAGTATCTTTACTTATCCTGCATCCCCTCTCTATACATGGTTCTCATCGAGAAAATGGGCTGAGGATGACACATGTCAGGTAGCGTTTTGCAAAACGGCAGCATTTCGATAAAACGTGCAGTGTTTCGTACAGATGGTGCTGCTGCTGCACACTCACATTAAGGCCCCTGGGGAGCTTTGGAGACAAGAGAGCAAAACACATGGACAACCCTCAGGTCTCTAACCCACGGGCAACCCTGAGGCCGCCAACCCAGCAGAAAACCTCAGAGCTCAGACTCAGAGGCAAAGCTCTGGATTTCTTATCAGAGGATTTCCCGGTTTTAGTCCCACCAACGCTTCAAAAATTTAAGGAAATAAATCTTTTGCAGGAAGGAAGGTGAGAAAGAGGGAAGAACGGGGAGAAGAAAGAGCTCAATCTGACATTTCCCGTTGCCACTGACAAAAGTACTGCTCACCATGCCAGATGGGAATGGGATCAGACAGTTCCGCCTGAAAGTTATTAAAGCTTGCCCACAAGAAAGGCAACACCTACACAACACTTCCAGGAGGGTCCCTGCATCGTGGTGTGTGATGGCTTAAGCCCTGATACCCCTGAGGGTGCTGAGCCAAGCAGAACGACTCAGAGACACTCAATTGTCTTAGGAAGAGAACCCAGAATAAAGATCTCTCTCCACTAATGTAAAGAAACTCAGAGGGCAGAGTTGTACCCTAGTTGACCTGTACAAAAATGTGTACGAGAAAAGCGTCATATTAACAAACAAGATGAGGTAGAATCATTCAAGAACAAGAGATAGAAAGACAAAGGTTACTGCAAAGCATCGGGCAGTTAAATGTACTATTGGGACTCCATTCTTTTTGTTCTCTAACTTCTGTATTTTAAGGGAATGTTTATTATTCAGCCTTCTGCGTGTCAAATCCAGTACAGGGATTGACCATCTGAAAGGGACAAGTGGCCCCTGTGACAGGGGACATCTGTGACAGAGCTGGGGCTTCCCCAAGAATGCCAAGGCTGCTAACCTGGGAAGCAAAGCTTTATTTCCAATTGAGCCTACTGGATTGGACTCCCCTGCCACTGTCTCCAAGAGGCATTTTCCTGTTCGTCTCGTTGACCCAAGGTCAAAGCAAATCCTCATGGTTTGCAGCTGCCTTGCTGCTCCAAGATTTTCTCCAGGAGGTAGAGGAAAAGTGCCCCTCACCCCACTGGTCAGCTCATTGCCATAGCAACGGGTCATTACGTGGTCAGTCCTTATTCCAAAGCAGCAGACAGCTGCTACATTACCAAAGATCTTTTTCTTGTAAAAGAGCAAACGAATTAAATTGGTCTTGGCAGTGGGAGCTCAGCATGGCATTTATGTAGCAAAGGGGAATTCAAGGAAGAAAACATGTCTTTAGGGGCCGGTGCTGTGGTGTGGCGGGTAAGCCACCACCTGCAGTGCCGGCATCCCATATGGGCGCTGGTTGAAGTCCTGGCTGCTCCACTTCCGATCCAGCTCTCTGTCATGGCCTGAGAAAGCAGAAGATGGCCCAAGTGCTTGGGCCCCTGCACCCGTGTAGGAGATCTGGAAGAAGCTCCTGGCTGCAGCCTGGCCCAGCCCTGGCTGTTGCAGCCATTTCGGGGAATGAATGAATAGATGGAAGATTCTCTCTCTCTGCCTCTGCCTCTCTGTAGTTCTGTCTTTCAAAGAAATAAATAAGTCAAAAAAAAAGAAAAGAAAATAAAAAGAAAACATGTATTTTTGGCTAGTGTCTGCCTGAAAAGGAGACTAATTAACTCAGCGATCAGAGTCCACTAACAGCTTATTTTTTTCCGTAAAAGGAAATGTTAGTTAACATGCCCCACCACAA